AACTTACTCTGGATTCAATTTATTACATCCTCTGGTCAAATTAATAATGAATAGGATTTACTAGGATTAGATATTAGATTACTCAGCAGTCAACTGTGCCCTTTACTTCTTTTAAATACAACATGAAGATAAGGAAAGTATTTGTATCATTCACTGTTGTGTGAGCAGATAAAGGGGTGATTACATATAGATTATGTGGCTGTGCTTAAGGGAGAACTGTTGATAGAAATAGTTGTGGAATCAGTGTAAATTTTCATTAAAAAAACCCCCACATGTTAAGAGAATATATGTGTATGCCAAATGTCATCTAGTTTGGGATTTAGTTTGGGTCTATGCCTTTGTCTGTAATATAGTCTTAATATTTTCCTGCTCTGCAGAGCCATTGTTAGAATTACTGAAGCAAAGTGAATCCTAATACATTGAAAGTGAAATCAGTGTTTGTCTACAAATGGAATAGATGCCATTAGCGGAATAGATTGTGCCTTCCCTCAGTGTAGCCCTTAAAATCTGTTCTAGATGGTTGGAGGCACACAGAGAGCTGTAGTGGAGAGAAGAGGGAGAGAAAGGCAAGGATTTTGTCATATGAAAGAGGAATACCAATGAGAATATGCAAAGTGATGTTTTCCTAAGACCTCAGGGTGGCATCCAACATTTTGTGAGCAGACTTCTACTTGTGTAACAAAACTTGTTGGGTACATTTTGTCAGCATTACTTAGTTACAGTTATGCCAGATTCTTGTTAATGCCCTTTGTAAATAGCCTAGAAAGGACTTCTTTCATTAAGTGATTAAATCTGCATGAAACAAAGTATGCTGTCAAAGCTTCAAATAACTGCATTCTAACTCTGCCTACTTTGGAAAATTCAGCTCTCCTAACCCTCAGTGTGCATCTAAATGTTCTTTGATGAAGAAATGTAGATATTTGGTAAAGTCAGTCTGTCTAGTATAAAGACATGTGATATGATATCCATTATTAGAGCCTGATTATCAGAGCTGTCTATGTAAATTCATGTCTTGTTCTCATGTGCGGTTAGCAGAAGAATGCACAAAGCATCAGTAATACTCCTCACTGATTATATTGTATTGTATATAAAAATTACTATTTTCACAAGGAATAACTCTTTTGTTACTAGAACCTATTGAATGCAGAAATTTAACTGTAGAACATTTATTCTGAACTGCTACTTTAAAAAAAGTTACCAAAAACAGTTAAATAATATTGATCCAAGGTACTTAGAGTAGTAGTGACATTTATATACTCCCAGTCAAT